AAGCACGCATATTAAATATATTAATAAAAAAGGCAATACTATAAGTTCACAAAACCTACATATAAATAGGAAAACTAATATTTAAGAGGTAGTTTTATATATTAAAATAGTTCAATTCAGTGAATACTATCTTGTTTTTTACTTCTAGATTCTAAAGATGTAAGCAGCTGCCAGAAAGCTTAAATAACTCAAAGTATACAGTAGATAATATAGCCGTTAGCGGGACTGATGAGTCTTTCCAGGCTGAACCTTACTAAACAAGGTGAATGCCACTGGGGTGTGTGCCTCCTTCGCGTAACCCACAGAACTTCAAGTAAGGAAGAATATCCTCCCCTAGGCTTAAGGGTATACCCTTACCCAATCCCTCCAAGGACATCATTAGCACCTCACTCTGTCGAATTCAATCCAGAAATTTTAAGGAATCATTCATCAAAGAAATAAAAAAGTTCATTCTTCCCATAAAAAAAAAACATAACAACCCTGAATACTAGCAGTTTATGATACAATCCATAGTAGAGTGTTTAAATTACCCCTCTAAATATCATCTGCTTCATATTATCTACATTTAAAATTCTTCCTTCAGAATCAATGTTCTTAGTCCATTCTTCTAGTGATACTGGCTCTCTCCTTTGAACAACAGGTCTTTCTCCCAAATCAATCTAAAATAAGAAGATAAACAATAACAAGTACATTTTTAACCAGTGAAATGAAACCGAGGTATACAGAAACTAAATCTAAAATACTATTTTTCGGACATGAGTTCTAATACTCCTACTGAACACACAACTGGGTTACAAATTCAGAGACAGGAAATCCCACAGACTAAAAACATTTGTTGGCCATGTGCGGTGGCTCACACCTGTAATCCTAGCACTTCAGGAGGCAGAGCTGAGAGGATCGCTCGAGGCCAGGGGTTTCCACTCTAGCCTGAGCAACATAGCAAGACTCTGTCTCAAAAATAAAATAAAAACATTTGTTACTTTTTTAAAAAAACAAGGTTCTTTGCTGTTTTGTGTTCAATTACATAAGTACAGAACATTCAACATGTAAATTCTATCAGAAACCTTCAAACCAAATGGCATGCTGTATTACTACGGTCTGCACCCCCAGGATATGGACCGCTACCAGCCTGTGGCCTGTTAGGAACTGGGCCACGCAGTAGGAGGTGAGCGGTGGGCAAGTAAGCGAAGCTTCATCTGTATTTACAGCAGCTCCCCATCGCTTGCATCACCGCCTGAGCTCTGCCTGTCAGACCAGCAGTGGCATTAGATTCTCACAGGAGCGTGAACCCTACTGTAAACTGTGTGTGGGATGGATCTAGGTTATGCACTCCTTATGAGAATCTAATGCCTGATGATCTGAGGTGGAGCTGAGGTGGTGATGCAAGCACAGGGGAGCAGCTACAGATACAGATTATCATTAGCAGAGAGGTTTGACTGCACAATAAATGTAATGCCCTTGAATCATCCCGAAACCACCTCCTCCCAATACCCTGGCCTGGTCTGTGGAAAAATCGTCTTCCACGAAACCGGTCCCTGATGCCGAAAAGGTTGGGGATCGTGGCCGTATTATTTATAAAGAGAGAATACATAATTATTTCATTAATCATATGCTCAAATTAGCTTTTCTTCCAAACTAAAGTTTGTAATTCTCAGAACTGATTCATGACCATTAGCTCCACTTGGCATTTTTTACAGCTTTTGATTCAATTAACATATGTTTGTAATTAAAACATTAGGTTATTAAATATGAAATGTCCAATTTCCTTAAGTGCCAAGTTTGACAGTTGACATTTCACTTTGACACTTCTAGTTTTATTTTTATTGTGAAGGTATTTAATACAACCTCTGTCTTTTAAATACACATTTGATTTGTGATTATCTTTAATTTTTTTTTTAGAGCAATTTTTGTGAAATAATTCAAAAATTCTTGTTATTTTTCAAATAGAAGTACCATTGGGGAACCTATGAAGCACAAATAGCTCAAAATATCAACAAAGTGTTTGGGAAGGATATGGCTAATGAACACACAGTACGTCGATGGTTTGAGAAGTTCTGTGTGGTGATTTTATTTTTGAAAATGAGCCACATGGGTGACCTGAGACTAAGGTGGATAATGATGAGCTGAAAGCTGTAGTGAAAGCGAATACATCTCAACCTGAATATGAATTAGCAGCAAGGGTTTGACATTACCATTCCAATACTATTGGATCATTTGAAACAAATCGGCAAGGTAAAGAAGATAGATAGATAGGATCCGCATGAATTAAACGAGCGTCAGAAGAGAAATCATCTCAAAGCTAGCCTTTCTTTGCTGTCACAAAATTAAAGGCGAACCATTTCTACACCATATTGTTACATGTGATGAAAAATGGATGCTCTTTGACAATTGCAAGCGTTTGGCACAATGGTTGGATAAAGATAAAGTGCCAAAACATGGTCCAAAACCAAATATTCATCAAAAAAAGCTAATGGTGTCTGGTGGTCCAGCACTGACATTATCCACTACAACTTCAGGAAACTTGGTCAATCGATTACAATGGATATCTACTGCAACCAACTGGATGAAATGATGAGGATGCTTGCAATTAAGCAACTGAGATTCGTCAACAGAGATAAGATAATCTTATTGCAAGACAACATTCAACCACATTTTTCACAAACAACACTGCTCAAACTACAGAAGCTGGACTTGGAAACTCTGTCATCTACCATATTCACCAGACCTCACTTCAATTGACTATCACTTCTTCCAGGCTTCAGACCACTTTTTGCAAGGAAAAATATTCAATTCTTAATAAGTTGTGGAAAACACCTTTTGTGATTTCACTGCCACTCGCTCTCTAGGCTTCTTTGCTGCTGGTATAAACAAGCTACTGTTAAGGTGGCAAAACTGTGTTGACAGTTTAGGCGCATATTTTGATTAACTGTACTGCTTCTTGTTTGAGATATAATAAACTACACTTTTGATTCAAAATTGGACATTTCATATTTAACAACCTAACACCATTTGCAAGATAAACCCTTTTACAATTTAGATATTTATGATGTTCTAACTATGTGCAAGCCTAGAATTGTAGCAAATTCAAAAGTCTTGTTGAGTATACATAAAGATTTGCCATAATTTAAAGCCAAAACCCATCTCATTTAAAAATGTAAAAATGCACATGAGAATGAAAGCCCTAAAGTATTATCCTGACTAGCTACCGCCGATACCTACTGAGCAAACACAAAGGAGGAACAGAACTGAGTGGCAACAGGCGAGGCTCACTCTTCACTCACTGCTACGTGCTAAATAAACAATCTGTTCCTATCAAAAGGTTAATCAAAGAAAAGAAACCCAACATTAATAGAGAAAATGTAAGATGGGGAACAAATCAAGAATTTGGTGGCAGGACAAGCATCAATTGTTCAGATATATTAGCCAGCAAAAAGTTCTAAGAATAGATTATGGGAAAGAAGTAGATAGCACCAAAATTGAATTTCTATAGTGTTCAGTACACATTCTCCTGTTAAAATATCAGAGCTGTATTAATATAAATCTCCACTCACTCTTGTGATGACTTCAAATCCTGGTTCTTCTTGTTGATTTATCTTTAGACCTGGAATAGCATCACTAAGAAAATCTGCCATTTCTGAAGGTGGTCGTTGATGTGTAGAGGGATCACTGCCTCTCAAACTATCAAAAATGTAGTTTGTGACTTTGGAAAATCCTACCATAGTTGCTGTATAAGGATCCTTTTTAATTTTCTATGTAGTAGGAAGAAAAATATTAGCATTATTAATTCAAATAAAGAATAAAAATACTTCATCACGGGAAATAAAGCAAAATTTTTTAAGGGGGGAAAATCAGAACTAAAACAGTGTTCTAAGATTATCTTAAAATTTTATTTTCTTTCTTGGAAGAAAAATTTAAATTTTCTAAGCCAACCTTTTCATTTGGTTAAAATAGCATAATACATGGCAAGTTAATACTACTGATTGAATTGCAGATAAGTAAATGATTTGCAGGCTTCATTCAATCTGCATACATCAGAAATATATGCAGGGCTTACTTTCCAGTGGTGAATGGCCCACAACAGCTTGCTTCTGTCTAGCAGTCCTGCCTTCATGAAAAAAAAATATTTCTTAAAGTGTGCACTACCACACCAGTCTAACACAAAATATCTGATGACTAAATTTAAAAGCTCACAGTATTTAAATATTGGCTGACATTTTAATCTAATTATCTGAATAGTAAATCATGCTGACAAGAATAATTTGCTCTGAAACAGTGCTGTCCTTGAAAACAGCAAAAGGTTTTTCTGTTGATACATCCTAAGATTACTTCTGAAGCCCAAACTGCTTGCTCATATTTAGCAAAAAGTTATTTATTAAATAACTGATTATTCTGACAATCAGAAAAATTGTCCCCTCATTTTCTATTTTAAATAGTTTTTAACTCTTCTGTCTTTCTTCCTAAAAAGTTCCCTCTTTACCCTGTTAATCTCTACATCTTTAAAACCAAGGAGAGTGTAGCTGGGACGTAATAAGCACTTGAACAGTTGTTAAATGAATATGTGAATAAAGAAATGAATAAACCATCTCTGTTTACATAGTATTCTAAGTGAAAATAAACAAATTTTATTTTTGCCTATGTTACGTTTTTAGCCAAATACAAGAACATACTCAAATACTTTTAGGGGAATTAGATTATCATGGACCCAAAACAACCTACTTAAATGCAAAGTAAAATATTTAAATCAGATTTTTGTCTGAATTGATCATTAATTAATTCAAAGTGGCTTACCCCATGACCCTTGGCCTAATCAATTAAATCTATGATAATAAAAATCTACTGATATCCAATTTCAGTACAACAAAGGGAAAAATTGCCTTAAGAGAGTAACTAAGAACCAAAGAAGCTTCTGAGTCTTGCAAATAATATGAACATTTCTACAAAATTACAAATAATAATTCCATAAAGATTACACAGACATGCCTCATTCTGTGTACTCTGAGAAGATGAGAGGTAGGGGGTATAAAAAATGGAGTTAGAGTAATAGATTATTACAGGATAGATTTAAGAAACATACCTGTATTAAACCATATGCAGGTTCATCAAGAAGATTTTCAAATGACTGTGAAAGACTCTTATTCTGACAATTCACAAGAAGTGTTCTTTTATCCTGTGAAGATCTGTAATTAAAAAAGGAGATATGTAGAAAATACTAACACACTGCATCAATTACTACCTGAATAATTACTAATGCATAGTTAATTTTTATATCAAAAAAATTTCAATGTGCAGTTCTAGAACAGTTCCCCATGAATACAATATTAGCAAATATTTAGTAACTTTTTTAATTGACCTTCAAAACTATACTACATGAAACACAAAACTGATACTTAATAAATTTTACATAACAAATATAAAACAAATAAAGGATCTTTTTACCCCAGATAAAGCCAAGAAGAGTAAATTGTACTGAACCCAAATTCTTGACCAGAATTACAATAGAAAAGCCTTACAATGTATCTGACTTTATTATCATAAAAAGTAAAAGAAAGCCAAAATACACTTTAGGATTCATCAGTATACAATATGTACAATATAGAAAAATATGTCATATTTTGAAATGGTTTCCAACTTCATTTCATAGCACGGTAGTACTGCAATATAAGATGTTAAAAATATAAGAAAATATATTAGTTATTTGGTAAAGATCATCAATCATTCTAATGATAATTATAAACACACACATCTGAACATATTTAACAAGATTATTAAGTACATATCAGATAATAGTGTAGTTCTTGCTTATTAAGCTCTGGAACCAAGTCTCTCTCCATATTTCTTAATAACTACAGAATAAATAAAATGTTTTCTGCATAGACACCTAATTTCAAGTAATCAGATGTATTATCCAGTCTTTTTCTATTCAGTAAGTTTTATGACTTAGTAAGTCAGTTGTAATAAATCTACAACTTTTCTATGTTTAAAATAAAAATCAAATGTGTCATTTTGCTGCTATATACCTCTAGTTTATTACAATGTTTGAGATAAGATCTTTAATAACAGTTATCTCTTTTCAATTCTAACAAAACAGGATGCAACAGTAACACTAGAGGGGATATGAAATCCAAAACAGATCTCATTCTTACACAGTCAGAAACAGCACTCGATCTACGATGACAACAGTAGCCAATAAACCCCTTGGCTTTTTAAAAGGAGTTGAGGTTGAGTCATTTGATAAAGGAAAAAATACGTTTTAAAACATTCACTTTTCATTAAACACAGTTTTCTAAACATTTTGAGGGGTCATATTTAATATGAAGACCTACAGATTCTCTCACAAGGTATTTTTGAAATGATAGGTCAACTTTTAAATGTAGGATCAGAAAAGTAGCTAATATAGGAATAAATTTTTTTCCTAGCACAGTGTTGCTGGCACTGTGACTATTAGTTTGTTTCTAACAATTAAGTCAAATTACTTCTTTAAAATCTAAATAAAAATGATCATGGACATCAAAATACTGCCTACTCATGTAGAAGGGTAGTCAATATGCGATCTTTAGCTATCTCAGCTGAGATAATTCTATGACTTCTTATCTAAAACAGTGGCCACTAAACAGGAGTTGGAAAGAAGAAATGACTGCCTTACCAATAAGCAACCACAAATACTTTTCTTAAAAGAAAATATTTCATTTTTTTAAACTAATACTCTGTGATGGGGGTTGGGGAGGGTCTACCAGGAGAAGAATATGAAGAAATTTAGAACCTGACTGCCCCAAAGGAAATCAACAAAACGTTAAAAAAAAAAAAAAAAAAAGTACATCAGTCAAGGGACAAGTAGCATAATGTCAGGCAACTGCAGAGCTCACTAAAAGGAGGACTTACATTTCAGAATATTATTACAATCATTCCACCTGTCATGTTACCACATTGATTTAATCTATAAATATGTATTCTGGGAAACTGATCTCTGATGCCAACATTATTCAAAACTTTCAAACTCATTGCAACAGTAAGGTGAACTTTTAATGACCCTAACACTAGCCATTCTATTAGAACCTACTATACAGTTTAAAAACCATGGTCTAATATCACAACTACTGAAGCATATCTCCTGAAAATTCTGAAGTCAGTCCCAGGCTTTGGGGTGCACCTCTCCTAAAGACCTTCAGAATAAATTCAGAAATTGTAAGTTGAACAACATTTGCGCACTGAGATGTAGCAGTAACTATTTTATATTACTATTGAGAATGACCAATATGTAAAGTTAAAGAAATAAAATAGTATTGCAATGGATAATAATAAAAAATGTGAATAAAAAATAAGTTAATGTTTACAATGTTGAAATTTTACATCTAAACCTTAATCATTTAAATAGTTGATGCTGTGTGATGATATAACCAATTTGGCTTTTCAGAAGAATATTTTACTGCTTGGATAGCTATATACTAATGTAAAAATGGCCCAATATACAAAATAATTTAATGGAATCAACAGGCCTCACTCTAAGCCTAGCAACCAACTTTGTTCAGAAAGATAAGAAAAATGTACTTGTAGCACATTCTTTTACCCAAGTGAATATCACGTTTCAAATGATGACAAATGAAAACATTTACAAACATCAATGAATATGACAATTTGTTTTCCTGGTAGATAAGAATACCACCTGAGAAATACTAAGCCTCAAGAAAGTGGCCTATTTTGCACTGACTAGATCTGGCTGGTGAGACTGAAAGACGTTATTATGCTTGACTGGTCTAGCCGAGCGCCTCTTCCTGGCTCTTGTACGGCTACCCAATCCGTAGATCATTGGCAATCTTTGCTCATCCATATAGTAAGACCCTGCTCCTGTAAGAGGAAGGTCTGCTCTTTAGGAAGGAAAACTTAATTCATTAGGGGACATATTAAAAAGACAATACGGCAACAGATGCAAGCCATGTTCTTTAATTTAGCTTAATCAAAATAAAACGATAACTGGTCTAATTATCCTGGTTTTGAACTAAGAAGACATCTGACAGGAAATGAAACCTCCATAGCTGACACCTCGGTAGAATTAAAAAATTGGGGATAACACCTGAAAACTTTCATTTCTTTGAACCTTAACTTAGAAATTTGGGATTCACTTGGATCATAACTAACAAGAACAAAGGCCTTTAAAATCCTCCTTAAGAATTTGATAGTGGGAGATGACTTTCACAAATTTGAGACTTTTTTCATACTAAAGTATCTTTATTCTACTACTTGGACTCATTACATAATCTACGGTGAGCTATATGGCACAATATAATTGGGCATAATTTGTGACAAATAAAAAATAGGGAGCACTTATTTTCAGCCTCGAGTAGAGGGGCCTTGCACTGTTCTTATGCATTTCAGACCATTCATGGGCCGAAAGCAAACTGCCTCCCACCCAGTGTCACAGGAGAATACACAAAGGAGAAGTGACTGATATTAGGGGAGTAGCTTTTGAAGTAGTCACTTCAGAACTACCACATCCTGGTGGACCATAAACTCGGTGACTAAGCTCAGTGAGAAGAGAACAAAGCGTAGGGAAGGTCAGTCTCCTCTGCTAGCTTTTTCTGACTACAGCATTAAAGACTGCAGTTAATCACTTACACTCACATCTAGTCCGACTTTATCCTTCCCTTAGTTGATTTCATTCTCTCCCAGAATTTCAATTACCGCACATGAAAAACTTTCAGATTATCCTTTTATACATATCCTTTTATTACTACAGCTGAAATTTTACATTTATTTAACTGATCCATGTCTCTCCCACAAATACTACAAAAGTCCATGAAGGCAGGGGCCATGTTTTATGATTCCTGCATCTTTCCAGCATGTAGCACTGCTGTATCTAAGAAAGACATAGTAGGCCTTTAAAAAAAAAAAAATACTTGAATGAAAAAAAAATGGAGGGAGGAACATCATTCCAAGGGTTTCACGTTTCCAAATGGAAATTAGCACTTTTCCTAAAGAACTCTCCTTCCCAGTGACTTATCTGCTAAGATTGGAAGACAGCAAGGTGCACGTCTGGCGTAACTCCTTCTATGCTCTCTTTCTCTTGGATCTGCTTGCAAACAGAGAAAGTGCTTTCATTCTGCTCTCATTCACATCCTAAGTGGTCTGTCCACACTAGAGAGGCTTGTGGTTATCCAGCACTGACAATAACTGGGTCAGTTTAAAACAAATTTGGGATAAATTATTATGATGCCACATGTCTAAGCCTCACCAATAATGGTATTTTTATTACCATCTCTGAGTCTTAACGCTTATTTCTCATTTCTTTATAAATTCAGAAAAGGAAACAAGGTTGCACTTACTCCCTTATGAAAACACCATGAACACACATTCAAGGTACACATACCCCTGTAGTTGCTTAAGTGGTTGTCCAGACTATCCTTGAACCCATCCAAGATAGAAAACTCTATCCCCTGAGCTAAAACCTGTCTCCTAATTTCAGTTTGGAGTCTTATAAAAGGTAATCCACAACTTATTTTTCACAATAACTTTTTCAAAGTTATTTGTCAAACTGATAATTATGATGCCATTTATTCATTCAACTAATATTTACTGTGCATCTCTTAAGTACCAGGCACTGTGGCTAGGAACTAGGAAGAAAATGGAAACAAGATATCTGTCCTTACAAAGTTTACATTCTAGAGTAAAATACAAAAGATGTACACAGACAAAATTATTTTATGCTAAGTGCCACGAAGGAAGCAAACAAGGAAATGAGACAGGGAGAAGGAATGGAGGTAGGAACCTACATTAGATGGAAGAGGGGCATCCTGGAAAGCCTCTCTTAGGAAATGACATTAAACTGAGACCTCAGGGATCAGAAAAGGAGGAGAATAATCCAGGCAAAAGAAACAGTATGAGTAAAGGACCTTAAGACAAGAAAGAGTTTAGGGGGTTTTAGGAACTGAAAGAAAATCATGTGGCTAGAATGCAAAAGAGAATAGCATGCAATGAGGTTTAAGAGATAAACAGCTAAAACAGGGCAGGACCTTGTTGACCAGAGTAAGAAGTATGGGTTTTATTTAATGCTGCACTGAAATGCCTATTCTTTAAGGTAAACTCCCATTATCCTTCAAATATTTTTCATAAGATGATTTTGATCCCTATCTTATACTGGTTATCTCTTCAACACAGTATAGTTAGTCCAGCACATTTAAAAGGTAGTGCTTAAATCTAAGCCCACTTCTCCAAAGTATGATCTTACCAGTAAAGAGGGGATACCACCACCCACATCCTAGATACTAACCTTTAATCAACAAATTCTCAGATCAAATGAGTTCTTCGGTGAGTTACTGATACTGAGCTTACACTAGGGTGCTAAAACCCCCAAGTCTTTAATGCCTACTACTAGAAAGCCATAACCTTCTGTTGTAATCATGACACTGCCTCTCCTGGAATCTACTTAACCCTCTCAATGGTAGCCTATTCATGGGTTCTCACTTCAAGATCCAAGATCCACACACCACCAACCAGGTCTGACTTTCTTACACTCACTGGTACTGAATAGCGTGTGTGATGCCAGCCAGAAGTGATCAACATAGTAAGGGAGGACCTCATGCCAGAAAATACATAGTCAAAATCTTTCAACTTGTGGATCGCTCCTAGCCTTATAGGATCTAAATTTAGGCAAGATGTTAAATTCGACTATAAAGTGAGGACATTATTAATGAAGTTAACAATCATCCCTGCAGTTACCCTAAGCCAAAAACCTCAACTTCTCCCTTCTCACCTCCACATAACCAATCACAAAATCTAATCCTGAGTACTTTTCCAATACTTCTTATCTTTCCTGTCACTCTCCTAGTTCAGGCCACCTTAATCTTATCTGGATGACTAGAACAACCTGATAACAAGACTTAAAGATCCTTTATGCTCTAGCCTTTACTCAGCTCTTTGGCCTCATCTTTAACTTTAGTACCCTCCCCACCCCATAATTTGCAGACCTGTAATACTGAACCACCTTGTCCTGTGATTACATTATGTTTGTGCTCTTTCCTCCATCTAAAACATCCTTCCCTCTAAATATCTTCCCTTGCAAGCTAATGTTCACTCATTTTTCAGGTCTCAACTTAGATGCTACTGTTTCCAGAAAGTCTTCCTTGAATCCCCCAGTCTGAATTAGGTACTCTTCCTCCCTTCCTGGGAGCTTCCAAAGCACTTTGTACTTCTTCCATCTTAGTTCTTAAATTTTAATGGCTATTCCCCTGTCGGCATCCTTCACAAGACCATAAATTCTCAGAGATCCAGGAACAATGCCTGTTTTGTTCACTGCTGAATATCAAGCAATTAGCACAGTGCTTGAGATGTAATAGATACTCAAAAAATATTTGCTAAGAGTAAGAACGAGTATGTACAGATGTGCATAGGTAAATAAATACATGACAAGATTTTTGGAAAGTGAGAAGGTGCTGTCTAACTCAGAAATAATTTTATAAAGAACTTAGACTTGCCTGACTTAAAGTTGCAACATTACACATAAAACTATATTTAACAGAAAATACATATCAAAGGGTAAATTAGGTAAATATATAATCCATAAATTAATATTAATGCATCATTCATTTAAATGTATAAAAAATACTGGACTACTTTTATTTGTAACAGTTATAAGATGTTAAGTCTCAGATTCAAATTACTAAAATGGCAACATTTTATTCAGTCATTGATCCAAAGAAGTCAATATCCCAGAAAAAACAAAGCTGCTCACGCCCTCATATGCACACAGGTCACTGATGTCCAGTGACAAGTAAAAATAGTTTGCTTCGGGATTAATACAACAATCCAATTTCAATAAGTAGAAAATAATTTGATACTTACTCACACAGTACCACATACTTTTCAAGAGAGTCAATCAGTAGTTTGCTATCTCCTTGGTGAAAGTGCAGAGCAGGGAGAACGACGTCATCCTTTAGACAGAATACCAAATACGACCAGCCCATACCCTCTTTATTTTGCTTGATTGATTTCAGGTCTGTCAAACTGAACAGGAATGACCATTTGCTTTTCCCATTTCTATGACTTGGAGCATCTTAAAAACAAGAAAGTGGGGCAAAATATTTTTGTTCACCTTTTTAAAAGGTACTGACAGTGATCTTCACGACTGCCTAACAGAAATTTGTTGAACCCAGGGAATCATTACAGCACTCATATTACTACGGCTTCCACCTATATTAGAAATGGTAACATCCATTTTCTTAAAAAGAATGATTTTTAAAATAATTATCCTATTGCATATAAATTTTAAAAATGTTATCCCTATGCGTAAAATATATACTTTGGCCAAAAAGTGACCACGGCTTTGGAAGCAGGCAGGCTGGGTTCACCTTGTAGCACTACCATCTTACCAAGTGAATGATCTGGGGCAAGTAATTGAATCTCTGAGGTTCATTAACTTCATCTGTAAAATGGAGATAATTATACTTACCTCCCAATGTTACTCTAAGAATTAAAAGAAAATACTTGCCAACTAACATAAGCCAAGTATATAGCAAATGCTTCATAAATGTTAATCTTTCACACTCCTTTCAAATAAGAATAGCATAATTCTCCCGGAGAGTCATTTTTTAAAAAACTACTTCTTCAATTCCTTTTGTAATTGTTTTCAGGAGATTACATTGATAATGAAGGTAAACATACTAACATTAAAAAAAAAAAAAAACACCAAAGTGAATATACAAACATTTTATTTGCAAAAGACCAAAGAACAGTGGAGAATCGAGGATGAAAAGATAACTAAGTCGTGAATATTTCAAAGACAATGAATACATTCAATCTTCTTGCTAAATTAACATTCTATTAAATTAAGACCTCAGTTCAAACCACAGTTACATAAAATATAGCATTTTCTAAGTTTGTGGCTTGTTTATAGAAGCTAAAATCCTAGGTTTGTCAACATTATCATAACTGCTAACAAGCAACTTAAAGATTAATTATTTTTAAAAAATTTAAAAAACAAAGGAAAAATGTTATCTTTCTTCTCACCAATGACACTAATAATCCACTTCTAATCTAAAATGTCACTTTATTTTAACAATTTAACTCAGATATAAGCACATCACATCTCTGAAATTTTTTTTAAAAACCCCTTTTCTCTAATATTTCTTAAGAAGTGTTATACTATCTTGTTACTCAAGCCTTTTATGAATTCCATCCCACACTATCAATTCCACAAAGATAAATTACATAGAAGACAGCCGCTTACAACACTTGATCAAATGACAGATTTATCAGTGTTGACCTGCATGCACATCACCTTTCTACATAGTTAGGAACATACAGCTCCATAATCTCCAACAAGATTTCCTAAACTGCAACACAGAAATCTGTCTATAGCTTACAGAGACCTCTCTCTGCAAGGAATGCAGGCACCATCAATGTCGCATGGACACTTTAACAAGTATCATTTGAAGAAGTCCAGAAAAGCTAAAGTAACTTATCTATAAACAATAACCTGCCTAACTTACATGCTAGTTTAGATGGTGAATTCATATGTAAGGCAGGTACTAAATTAAGTACCATGTGTATACTTGACTACTTTGCATAATGTTTCACTGGTATTTATATTATAGAGCTTGTAACACCACTATAAACTGACATCAAAGTGAGAACAAGTCTAGAATTCCAACTTATCCATGAATCATTTAAGTGTGAATGTACTTGGATTACATAGAAAAGGATATATACTATCAGCTTATTTGCAAAGATCAAATATATTTTCAAAGAAAAACAGCAATGATATAGACAATTTTTAAAATTAAATTTTTCAAATGCACAAAGTACTTAATCTAAATTAATGCAAGAAAATCATGGAGAATAGAGAATATTAAATACTACATGTAGGCTATATGGGTTAAGAGTTTGTGCACATTCAAAAATAAAGATTTTACATAGATTATCCGTTATTAATGGAAAAGACATATTAACATGCAAAAGAAAATGCTTCACATTTCCTCACGTAAAGCCTCTAACAAAGATGAGAAAAATATTACAAGTCAGTTTTGCAAGTCCCTCCACTAGACTATAAGCTTCATGGGAACAGGCAATTTATTTTGTTCATAGCTATATCCTCAGTGCTAGAAAAGCAGCTAGCATATAGTAGTAGGTATTCAAAGATATGAATAAATGAATTAACAACCTAGCACTAAGTCAACATAAAAATAATCTGCAAATTGTTTTGTTGCCAACAGCTAACCAGAAAGAATTGGTTACAAAGGAAAATTAACAGAAGTCAGTCAAGAGTTAATTCAAATTTTCCTTCTTTTCTACTTAAGGGTAAAGAAAATCAATTAGTTTTAACGAACTTACTACATCACCAAAAATATGTAAAAAGCATCTCCAACACACTGACATGAGAACACTGAATATAATAAGTATAATCAGTAAGTATCCGTATGTCTTGAATAGAATTAAGATCAAGGACATCACATTCTATTTGGATAGGTTTCCAGAACATGATGGCAGTCTGTTGTTTTTAGAAGAAATATTTCTAAAACATTTAAACTGCTATATAAAAACAAAGGATTCAGCAGTTGAAAGTCTTAATGAAATATAAAGTTAAATGCTTTAAAGAAATACAAAGTTAAGGCCAGGTGCGGTGGCTCACGCCT